ATACCAGCTGCCAGCAGAGATCAGCCTCTGTACTGTCCTGGCTGTCAGATTATGCCTGCAATTGTCCGAGGGGAGCAGGAGCTGGAATAGGGCAATACTGTTTTCCAGGACATAGTCTCACTGTCCTGGGGGAGAGGAAACAGCCATGCTCATTTCATTTAAGAGCACGGGGGCAGCCACATCCCTGACCTTTCTCTCCATAGAGACAAGGTGAGCAAGGGGAACCCGTGGCACTGTGCCCCCGCATTCTATGCCACCACACGGGTGAGCCCTCCTTTCCCAAGGGAAGCACAGCCATGCTGGAGGTATTCCTTCCTTTTCCTCTACCCACTGGCCAGTCAGCAAAGCTGTGCTGGGATACAAATGCCCTGTGGTCAGTGCAGCTCTGAGGATACAGGAAAAGGAGCACTCCTGGGTAGTTACAGAGCTACCGCAGCTTCCTCTCCAGGGCAGTCAACAGCAGCAGCCCTGCACGCAGAGGGGACCAGGGGGATGCTTTACAGAAATCTCTCATTCCTGCATGTATCCTAGCAACACCTCTCCGAGGTTAGAGATACAATGGCTTTGCCACCTGTTGCATAGGAAGCCTGAGGCAAGTTACATATTGCTTTCTTCCCAGCTCGTCCCACTAGTATGAAGCCACGGCAATAAAGGAACACACCACAATGGGCACAGGCTGGCCTCCTCTGCTGGGTGCCACACACAGGTATTCACAGCTCTGAAAATACGTCAGCAATGTGCATGTGGGCCAAGGAAAGGTTTTGCTGACACAGACTGAGGGCTTTCTGATCAAGGCAATAAAAAGGGGGTGTCCTTAATCCCTGCTTAATTTGCAATCACACAGTGCTGAAGGAGGTCAGGTCCTGAGCAGGTATCTAAATAAGATCTCCAAAAGGGTTGTAGGTGCAAAAAGAGCACAGTGAACAAAACTGAAAGAAAATTCAACCCCTCCTATGCCCTCCCCTTCAGCTTCATTGTGCTGCAATGTAATTACGATGAATGATACACCACCACAAAAACCCAAAACAAGAGACTGGCTGAGGGGTTGAAAAGGTCACCTTTTCCATACAAGATGACGTTCTTCTCCCATCACCCCTTAAGAGTTTTTATTTCCTGAAGGCGGGGACAGGATATTGAAAATGTTCTAGAAATGATCACAGAACTTAAAAATTCTGTTTTATGGGAGAACTAAAAAAATTGAATCACAATTCTAAAAAATAAAACACAAGACAAACATCTGTAGGAGGGGAAATAGACAATGGATCACCTTTTACACCCAGTGAAGATGGTCCTTTTTCTATCATTCTCCTCCCCATAAAATTTGATTTCTTTTCTTTGGCTTTCACTGAACAAATCCCTTCAGCTACAATATTCACTTGCGACTTGAACCTCATTTTATCTTAATATACCATTTATTTACATTCCTGCAAAACAAGCAAATAAGAAACTATGGATTTTTTTTTCTGGGTTCTTTTTGTGCTACTGAACTAATCACTGCTGAGTCAATTTTATTCTAATATAGTAAAGGAATTCAAGGGTTGCACAGGCACACACAAGGGGAGCCTCTGTCCTCAAGGCCAATAGGGAAGATGAGGTTATCACTGCTCAGTCAAAGATACATCATTTGCTGTAGACCTCTCTCATTCATCTTCACTCAGAGGAAAATATGGGATACTTCATAAGTGGTTTTGGCACTTGTGAGTTATCCCTCTTTCCTCACTCATGAAGATAAATGTCATAATGAAATGCAGCCATCAGGTATTCTCTGTATTTGGAGTACTCAAACTGTGAACAACGATTATACCTTTTCATTGGATAAGTTAAGGTTGACTGCCTGGCTACCTGGGGAAGACAGGAATGATTTGCACTAGTTCACAGGCAATGAATGGAAGAAGGTGGCATACCCTCTCCCTCAGCATCAGTTATTCTGCTAAACCCAGGCTGAACAATACGTTCAGCATGTCAAACCTGCCTTTTCACTTTAAGGCTACTTGGCAGCTGAATCTGCAAGCTGAGATAAGTCCAGCTGAGATGGCAGCAGCCACTTCATTAGCTCAATGTCTGTCTGGTTTTGACGCTTTTGTGGAAACATTAACTGCATTTCTCTAACAAGGGGGAAAAGTAGCTTTTTCAGGTGAGATTTATTGCAAGTGTCATGAGTTTTAGGATGTGGTCCTAGCCTGCACTACACAAACAAAAACTCCCCTTCAGGTTGACAGATATCAGGAGTGAGAACTGAATCACGTTTCCTGGGTGAGATAAGACTTAATGCCTTCATAGCTGTCACTTCTTTTTATAGTGTATGGGAGGAAATTCAAGCATTCAAAGTTACATTTAAATATGAAAACATGACAGACATATCTGGCAATAAAACACAGCTGGTAACAACACAGCGTAAATAATGCAATGGTACCGCACAGGAGGCCGAAACCCTGTCTCTGGCTAAGTCTGAGAATAACCTGCAGGTGACAGCAGCTTCCTCATTTATTTAACAGAGGGAGTAGAGTTTGTATTTGTATACTGCACAGTACTGGGCAGAAATACCCTCAGGAACCCATCGTCCAGCACTGCACAAACACGAACACAACTTCCCAAATGTCTGTGAACAAGGCAAAAGTGCTAGAAAGACAGTTCTTCGCACACAAGGCAAGAATTAGGTTCATATTTTACTTAAGTGCAAGACATGCACCATTCAGCATCCCATCTCTTGAAATCTGCAGCGGACTTGAGGGATGCAAACTCAGAGGGGCTGCTTCATCTTAAATTTAATAACAAACCACTGGTTGTGTATGATGTAAATATGGAGCAGTTGGTAGACACAGGATAGGTTCAGACACAGCTGGTTTATCACAGCCGCACCACGCACAAGATCACTGACTCCCATGTCCACCAGTCATTTTTATGCAGCTACTAATGCTAAAGATGTGTAAGGAAAATAAATTAAGTATTAGTATGCTCCAGGGAGAGCATCTGCAACAACAAGCAGGTTGGGGGTTAAAATAGCCAGGTGCATCCTAACCAGTATACAAAATAGTCAAAGAACAGCTGCTGATGAGACTCGGGAGGCCCTGCACATGCTATCTAGAAAATATTGAGTATTTTGAAGCACACACTGGCTCATTTTCAGCACCCAGAAGCTATTTTAAGTGCTCAGTGGAGACAAGCTAGTGTTATTAGGGCAATTCTCTTTGAAGAGACAACAATACATTTGGAGCCAAATAATCCCATCAGAGGCCTTTGTAAACACCTAAATCAGATGAAGTGGCTGTGATGATCTCATGTTGGGGAAGATTCAGCAGCTGAGCCAAGGCAGGTTTTCTCACGACACTTGGAAAGAAAGTCAAGCTATTTGCTGGGCAGTTTTGGCACCATGCCTATCACATACAAGCACCTTCTAGAGGGAATCTCTGGAGTATGAGGAACTGCCTAGCTGCCTCAATGAGAAAAACCTTGAACAAAAGACTACAAAATAAAGGTTTTTACCTTACTGAGCAGCAAAGCCATAGCTAAACAAGCACTGAAAGTACAACCCTTGCCTCCTGGCAAAAACAACAGCCTTAGACCCAAGAGGAAAGGGTTCCAGTCTTTCTCTGGCCTTGGCTTCACGTCACCTCTCTGTCTCAGTGTCACCCAGTCTAGTGACCTTTACAAAGCATTTTGAGACCCACAGTCAAGAAAAAGTATATGAAGAAAGAGATAATACTACTATTACCTGATGGTATAGCTCTGTATTATGTGAAGGCATAGTCACAATGAACACCCTAAATCAGAAAGATGGGAAGAAATACAGAAACAGAAGCAGAGGAAATTGGCTTACGAAAGTGACAGAGAGAAGAGGATAGCAAGGATTTTCAGATCTTGGAAATCACTCTGCTATCAGCATGATGGTCTCAGTTAAGGAAGTTGTTAAAAGCATGACCAGAAAAGCGAACATGATCAGAAAGAGTCAGCCAAAACTGTTTTAGTTTGTAAAGTGTTTCAAGCCTCCTTTCCCCTCCTCTTTTTGAAAGCTTTGCTGCACAGCCTGGTGAGGGAACTGGAAGTACTTGCGTGCTGCTCTGAATATTGCAACACAAAAAAAGCAAAGGGTGAAGGGTGCCTAAATATAGTTCAGAAGGCTCCCATCTCTTTGTACTCTGGTGCGAACATCACATCCAGCTCAGGTCACTGACTTTGAGTCAGCTTTTAGCCACTAGCAGAAGTAAGGCTATTCCACAATCACCAAATCTTAGGGTACAAATTATCATAACTGATGAGGAACCAGGTATAAATAAAATACTTTTAGTGAACTCCCTAAAAAGAGTTTGCAAATGTCTGCACTTTATTAAGTTACAGTCCAGTGATATTTAGCCAATTTTTAATGACCTAAACCACTGACTGCAAATTCTCAGCTGTGAGAAATGAAATGATCTATCCCACATCATGATCCAGCCCTGAGTTTGCAGATGAACATAAACCGATGAACTTGGCTTACATTTTTGTCTTAAGAAAAAGAAGCATTTTCCCCACATATATAATGCACTATTTTTGCTTAGAAAAAGAGTTCTCTACCACATTTTTCCTGTCCCCCCTCACCCTCCAGTGCAGCCACAAAGGAGACACAGCAGCAACAGCAGAGGCAGAGGGGATACTAAAGCTAAGCTAAGTTGGCAGAGAACATGTAACCTGAAGCAGCACACGTGCAATAACCAAGGATCACAAGGAAACCAACATGCTTATGATATCAAAACTAAGGAAAAAAATCATCTACTCTTTCAACAACTATTTCTGTTTCAAATTCACAGCTCGGCATGACTTCCACACACAGCCTTTGATCAGCAATGGCTGTGTATAGTTGTGAACCAAAATAAGAATGAAGTACCAACAAACCTCTTGAGCAACCAACAGCTGCCAGCCGCTCATGGTGCACAATGCAAGAGACTGAGAACTTTGGGGCAAAAATTCAACAAGGTCACTTGGGTTCTTGCAACTAATCCATCACATTTGCAAGTTTCACTTACCCGTCAAGTTCTTCAGCCCAAGTTCCCTGAGTCCAAAGTTACCATCCTTTCTGTAGTTCAGAAATATTGCCAAGGCATAGCGCTCTTCATAGAGTTTGGTCCCACGAACGATGCGCAGGTTCTCCAGAGGCAAGTATTCAAACTGATTCAAAGCCACCAAAACATAGCCCGTGACTTCTCGGATAGACTGAAATACAAGAATGAAACAAGCACATTAGAAATGGTCCATTTTGAGTTGTTCTCATTTTCTCATTCAGTGGATGGTTTAGTATGATATGCTGGTCCCCAATGAAAGAAAAAGAACACAAAAAAACCCAAACACCAGAAACCTTTGGAAACAGATTCTATTTCAGCTTATTGATTTTAAGCACTTTCTTCTTTTTCAGTGTAACTGAGTTTTTAGAGATACTTGTTTGAAAAGTAGAAAATAAAGGGATTCTTTCCAGTTTTCTTAAACTGTAGCAAAAATTCACATTAAAGCATTAAAGCTGCATGAAAGGATGACTTTGTACAACTCAAAGCAGAGAGCAGGTTAAAGGCCCCTACAGTACATGAGCAGAATCCAGTGGGGCAATGGCACAGTTCAGGTAAGATTGCCTGCAAGTAACTTTCTGTTGCACTGGGTATTTCAGGGTGAGACAGAAGGGACATAACATGGGGTAAGAGAGACCTCTGGAAAAGCTCATCACTGAACAGGAATGGATGGTAAACATGGGGGACAGGTTTGGAAGAGTAAATAAAGACAAGGCACATACGTATTAACACACACTTTTGTACTTCTAAATGAAATCAATCACTGAACATTTGCAAAGATTCAGCTTCTGGTTTCCTTTGCAAGTGCTACAACCATATGTGCTATTATAACCCAGACTTTGATCAAAACCACTGTCAAAACCTTTAGCAAAATGATTGGTGCATCTTTGGGTTGTCTAAAATCTTTGTTTGCTTTAAATGAACTATTCAGCCACCCTCCTGACTGACTGCCTGGGTTGTAAAGGGGAAAACCACCCCACAATCCAAAAACTAGAGATATTTTTTCAAAGTACAAAAGCTTAACAGAACTAAGAGGGGTTTAGAAAGAAAAAAAAACTAAATTAAAGTATGTTCTTTTAGAAAATAATGTTCATTTTAAGGAATTTAAATAATTGGCCTAGAAATCTGCAAACACCTTTCAACATCCACATAGAGCCCCACCATCCTCAATGGGACTTCATACAGGCTGAGGAATGCTCCTGCTCCCAGAAACTGATCCTCCATGTTGGAAAGAGTGTTTCAAATACAGTTTTCAAACCTCACCTAACTGCATGCCTGCAACAGCCTGCAACCACTGTGTACACGCATGTTTATGTGCGTACTGGCATACAGTAGGCAGAAATTGACCTAAGTTGTGTGCTTACATGGATGCATGTGCTTTTCTCTTCCCTTTGGCAATGTCACTACCTAAAACAAAACATAGAGAAATTCTGCTTAGAGTAATGGGCACTGGCTACAGGTAACGTGATGGGGATACCAGTAAATATTGTAATAAACAGGGGAACACAAGCAGGCATCAAATTCAATGTGTTGTGTATATATCATTGCTAAAGAAAAGCAACATGGATTTGCAGCACAAAGGAGAAGCTTCTGCCTTGCTGGTTCAGTGCAGTTGCCATGATTTCATGTGTAAACGTGCAAGTGCCTTTTAATTAGGTTTATAAAAGTTCATCAGATTATTAAGAAGTGTGGCAGTATATATAAGGAAGGGTTTATATGCCACAAAGTCTACGCATGACTTGTCCTTCTGAAGTCAAACATCTGTACTCAGCTGAACCTGCTGAAAAAGCTCTGGAGCTGTTTCAAGACTTGCTTGGCATCTAAACAGAGCACAGGACTTTGATGAGAACCCAGCTAGGTTGAGAAGTACGGTTCAGTAGCTCAATATTAACTGTATACCCTGGGACACTGATTCCACTATAATTAGAAGCTTCCCAGCACTTTCATGGTAGTTCTCTGCTTTCAGATCTTTCATCTTAGCCAGTTTAGTCAGGAATTTGGTTTTCATTGTACACAAGAGTTTCCTTAGGCTGCCTTTTGCAGCCTCTCTTCAGAACTGAGGGACTATTAAAACTGTATTCATGGATTCAATCTCTCCACTGGTATTCCAGGGACACTGTGATTGCTCTAATTAATTTAAAAGGATGTTTAACTTGGAATTGAATTGAAAAAAAACAACCCTAAAAGCAGCTCCAAAACTGCATCTGACCAAGTCCTCCCTGCCAATTTTTGTCACTTATAAAGCACGTTTTCTATTTTTAGGGTATGTCTCATTCACTGCTGAATGGCAAGTTCACCTGAAACAGCCCTAATTCAGCATGGCACATACACACACTCAGCAGCAAATCTTCATTCCAAAGTTTAAAAAGAGGAGAAAAGGACAGTCTTCTTGCTGATAATTGTGAACTACTCTTGAAGCCCTGTACTTTGGTTTGTTGCTTTGTCAGACTGCAATGACAACTTATGGCAAGTTTTTTAACAAGCAAGAGGGTCCTTTCCAGTCCCATGCCTTTCATTGTCTCGCAATGCCTATTTATTTACAGGAGAAACTGCCACATTAATCCTTGCAAAAAAGAATTAGGAAAATAAACCAAAGGGTTTCTAGTTTACTAGAACACAGCAGCCTGACTGACCCAGTCTAGTGGTATCTTATATTAATTTGGGGTTATTTTAATTTTTCATTCAACTATGACTGAAAAAGGCAGAGCATTCACATGCTTTTGCAGGATGGTGTGTTTTCTGACCGGTCCAGCTTGAAAACTCATACAGGGAGCCCAGCAGGCAGCTCAGGTTTTGGCCACTCCTGGCTAGCACTGTCACTTTACCAGTTACTGCAAGTTTTGACATGATGCTTACTGAACATGGACACCTGCCCACTTGGAGCTCACTCCAAGCCCTGCTGGAGTCACTGCAAAGATGCCTCTTGGCTCCCATGCAGACTCACAAATCCTCACCAGACGGGATCAGCCAGCTTGATCTCCTCCTCTGCAACTCATGCTACGGTTAGGCATGATTTGAACGTCTCATTCTGTGAATACACAGCTTTCCTGTTCAGGTACCCTGAACTCAGGTATCCTAATACTCTATTTGAGCTGATTTTGCTACAGCATTTATCTGTGTTCCCCCAAGGAGGTGGAGCGACTCATAGCAGTGGCAGTTTGAGTGTCACCTCCTAGTTTGATTCTCCTGCTAGGGCTGGAGGTCCTTGCAAAAACGTATTTCTCATGAGTCCCTCAGGAAAATAAAAAGGGGAGACAATGATGTAAATAATGGCATTTTGTTCTCCAAACCTACAACTGGAATGAAAGACGTAGATTAATAGGAAACAGACTTAAATCTAAAAGCTTCTGATGAGGAAAACCAAATGAACTCTGGCAATCTCTGTTCTAGATTATTGACCACCATTATCCACCAGGACTCCTCCCAAACCCCATTACAGCATTATTTTGACTGAATTCCTGGCCAGGATGGTCTGGCTTTTCCTTGTCACCTTTCCATCTCCTGAGACATGATCTGTTATGCGAACAACTCACCCACTGGGGCAGCAACAGGCTCATGCTCACATAGCACTGCTGCTGCCTCAGTAAACACATTTTGGCTCCCCGAAGCTGCTCACATCCAGCAGCAGGAATGAGCACATAGATTTCCATGATGAAAAAGTGAAACTCACAGGCTCCTGTTGGGAAGGGACAATGGACACTGTTCCTCAAGCCCTCCAAGCACATGCCTAGCCATTCAAAAGCTGATGAGGAGACACCTCTGAGGATATAAGAGCCAAAGGTGTCTGCTCCTCTGACCAGGCCTGTTAGGTATCAGATCCTGAAGTAATAAAAGGCATGCTTCTGGCAGGAAATAAAAAGAGTGTATGTGTAAGGGGGGAAAGTATTAATCCTTCACAAGCCTAAAGCCTCACGAGCTGCTTTAAAACCACACCAAGCCATAGGATTCAAGCCTGACATATTTACCGGTGATCTCCACCTACATTTTTGGACAGGAGATGAGTACTCGTGCTCCACAGCCTGCTGTCCCTGAGGCTCAGCTCTGCCCTACACCCCAAAAGCAGGCGCAGGACCCTCTAAACCAGTCTCCCAACAGCCCCAAACACAGGCAGTTTCTGGTTTTACACCTAAAGCTGCGTTACCTTTGCCGACATGGACCCAGCCAAGGCCTCCGTGCGCCTCCAGGCGCTGCGCTGCCCTGCCCCGCCCCGGTGGCTGCTGAGCCTCAGGGCGCACAAGAAGGCGGCCACCGCTCCCCTCATCCACCTCAGCGGGCAGAGGAACGGGCCCGACCTGACACCAGAACCAAAGGGTTCTTGTCAGAGGTTCTTTTCAGGTGACAAGCTGTAAGAACGAGCTCCAAGCAACCCATGCCCTTAATCAGAACTAGCATTGGCTCAGCACGGGTAAAGCATTTTAAGCTCGCAACAGCAAAGTCAGAATTATGCTGTCAGCTGGGAGTAAAAGGCAAGATTGTTCCTTGCCATCTTTTATCACCCTTCTTCTCAAGTCAAACGAATCTGAGTGTAACGAAGCAAAGTAACAGTGAGAACTTCGTCGTTCTGCCCAGAACAACAGATCAATGAGCGATTAAGGAAGCTGATGTTTCTCATAAACACTACCAAGTCTTCTTAACATCTATCAAGGAAGGTTAGGCTGTGGCTAAAGCACCAAAGAGAGCTGTATTGCGGGGGAGTTTATTTCAGCTGCAGACACAGTATTCATCCAGTCGCTGACCCCTGAGCTGGTAAAGCCCTTGCTGACCTCATCTGACCAGATATAAGTCCTTGGCATGGGAGCTTAAGAAATAGCAACCTGCTGCAGGCCCAGCTCATGTTTCTGGGACCCCCAAAAATTAATTATCTTTTAGGTTATTTTTTCCCTTTTCCATAAAAGCTAAGTACATTTTAAGCCTGCTTTGATGTCACTTTGAAAGTGCCAATAAACACGAGCATGCAAGAGAAGGATCAGCTGATGAATGAGTGTGTTTAATTCACGAACATTAAAAGACAAAGAATGCATATTCAGCATATTCACTTGAGAGACAAAGAAAAAAAGCCTGTGCTTCTCCAGCACTTGTTTGCAATGACACAGAGGCGCTTTACTTGTTTGCAATGACACAGAGGTGCTTTACTTGTTTGCAATGACACAGAAG